TGACTTTTCATCTGACGGTGTGGGCCAGCCGCGCTTTTCCCTTGCGCCGGAGCCCCCGATCGCCTCCCAGTGCGCCGGGTTCGGCCTGCGAGCGCCGGGTGGATAAAAGGGTCGAACTGGCGCTTTTCGTCGTCCTGGGGGCGCGACTGGGCGTTTTTTTGGCGCCGGCGCCGAAAAAGTGGCCTGGGGGGCCTGTTGGGGGCGCGGCTGGAGATGCTCTTAGTTCCTTAATAAAAGTATTATGAGCACCCTGCTCCAATTTGTTCTTTGAACTAATGAGATATGGTACAGTAGTACTACAGCAGATCTGAAGCAAGATGCTTTGCCTGTTTCTATTATCCTGCACAATAAACAATATGTTTGTCCTCACCATAGTTGTGGAGCACAGACTCTTGAAACCATCTGTTCTCTTGCTACCCCCCAAAAATTCATCTATTCTAACCATTAGCCATACAATTGTATAGAACGACCATATAAATGGGATTCTGTCTGATGTAAACCAATTAAATAGAAATCAAGTTGATTTGATTATATTTCATGTCCATAATGGTTTTCTCTTGGTCCAGAAAACATAAACATGTACATGCTACTCATTGCGAGAGGATATAAGGATTTCTGCTATTATAATGATAGAATGACAGCAGCACCTCAAGCATGTAACTGTGGAAGTTAGTCTTTGTTACCTAACTTGAATGTTATTGTAACCATAAATATGTCCTAAGAATTCGGGTAAGAATGATGCATGTAATTGTTGAATGTCTACAGACGTAGCTCTCTTAATCCTGCAAAAGTTAGTCATAAAGGTGAGTAAGATTATTGTAATTTCACTTTTCTCTAAAGATGCTTATCCTATTTACTATATGTTTCTTTGACCTATCAACGGAAGTGTATGAATTCATTAAGTTCTCTTCGCAAGGTGTTTTCTTGCGATACGTCACAAGCTGGTAGCTTGTAAGAGAATGATCAGTTCAGTAACTTTTAGTTACGATGCCTGCAACATTGGGATTTATATACAATGTTCTTTATCCTTCCATACTTATATGGTTCACGCAGATTATGGACACCCAATACTATTCACAAATAACGCTCTAATATTGTCGTTCAGCATTTCCCATGGAAAACAGGAGGATTTCAATTTGCTAGGGCTCATAGAATGTCACAAGAAAGATGATTTTTGGATTAAACTTGATATCGATCAGACTGGTTTATATAAAGTGATGATGAGGAACTTGCATCACGACTTAGGCATGCAGTTGAGACCAACACACTTGAGTGCAATAGACAGATATGGTAGAACTCTTGCATGGTTTCTTACAACTGTACAAGTCTTCTCCTATTGAACTATTCTCACATTATTACCGTCTGATCAATACAGGTGTACTTGATGACACATATGCCCTCTGTATGGCTGGTAAATAGAAGGTGGTCATGTTGCTGCATTTGATTGTTCCGTACAAGACTGAGACTGAGTATTCTGTGCTTGCCACATGCCATCAACATACTACTCTTCCCATTCTAATTAATTTTTTATGTTCCTAAACTTGATTTTGTTCTTGCCTTTATAGACAAGCCTGAGCATATTTGAGATGATGGCTATTGCTGCACGTGAAGAGTTGGTTTATATGAAGAAGTTTCTAATTAACTTCCTTTAGCCATTTGTGCAGTAAGTTATTTGCTTTTATCATTGTGTAGTGGAAAGATAGTTTATCTGTATGCCTTTGCTTGCCAAAAACGAATAGTTATGGTAGGAAGTTGAACTAGCTATGACGATCTGAGCAGATGGAATGTTGTCCGGCATTGCCAATACATTGAGTAATTCAGCTGTAAGTCTATAAGCAGTTCTCTTCAAAAGAGAAAAATATATAACATGATTCAGTGAATGGCCGCCCCTTCTATTTAACTAACACTAACACTGCAATTATATTCACCGCAAGTACAATTCACGTACATATGCAGTTCGATTCCATGTGAAGTCAATGACTGATTATCTATGAATTTCTTCAGGTTTGATTGGTGGACTTGCATTTAACAAAGAAGATATGTTTAATTATAGGGAATTTTTGAGGTAATATCTATCTAAGTTGTTTTGCTTGCTGCTACTGCAATTGTTATTCTAGGTTGGTTTGCTTCCTCCTGCTATTATTTTAGATTTATTGATATTGCTTTTTTTTCTTTAGAGAGATAAATTTACTCGATCATGCCCCATTGCCCCGAGGGCCCTGAGCTCACGTGACCATCCTAAAATGATCCATCCTTTTTTCTCATGAGGGATTGTTTGTCCAATGACACAGTTTGTCGACTTGGCCAACCGTGCTTCATAGGAACTGATGCTCCCCCGTTGCAATGCACGGGCATTTGACCTCAAGTTCACATGACTCGTGCTTCTTTACCTTCAAAAGACGTATGATACTCAGCAGATCAATTGGTGCCATCTCCAGATTCCTCTCATCATGTTGTTTCATTTGTCTTAACAAGTTTCACTCGGAGATGCACACATGAAACATGCTATTTTTTTAGTGCGCATCAAACATAGTGAAGATTGCTTTTCTTGTGAAAAAGAAAAGTTATCGTTCTAAAGATCTGTACTCTGAATCCTAGATCTCATGCTTTGTTTTTTTGCATAGTTTTTTAGGCCTGGTGAGTATCAAATGCCATGAAAATTCAAGAATTTCATGGGAAGAACGAAGACAGCTAGCAAGATTGGGTTCTCCAAGGAATGCCCATACAAACTGGCTATGGGGACGGTGATTCAAGGGATGGAACCGCGATCATGCTTAGCCAGTTCGGCAGTCCAAAGTGGAGTTGTAACTAGCTGGTGCTCAAACACCCAATGCAGAGTTTTGCATGCGTATGAGAGTATGAGGAAATCTGCAGCACCATGATAAGCATGTACATAGATCTGCCTCCTTTTTTTGCAATAAGAATAATGTGGAAACTTCTAGCCTTCTAGAACAAGGATGGTAGCTTATTTAACTTTGTTATAACAAATATTGTATATGGTCAGTCGAGGATAAAAGTCTATTTATCAACTTGGTTAATCTGGTTGCAGTCAAGAAGAAATCTAGGGGGTGCTTCTTTCACTTCAGTATTTGCCATTGATATTGGCAGTTCTCTATAGTACTCTTATTTGTATTACTTTTACCTTTTTTCCTCCATGTTTGAGTACTTGCATTGCTATTGCTTCTGACTTTATTCCTATGATGCATGCTGCTGACGACAACGCCTCAATGTGAATGTTTCAATCATTTGATAAACGTTCTGGAACCCGTGACCAATACTTCTTAGACTGCTGACAGTGGGGAGTAACATAGAGTAGTAACTTGCCGATGTTACTAGTCTATGTTACTGCCTCCATAGTGGGTAGTAACATATGAGTGGTATCATAAAAGAGTTTATTTATTAGGCTATAGACTCATTATGCCTTGAAATGTGTGATGTTACAATAACTATCTAAGTTACCACAAACCCCTCTCTCCTCATTAATTAGATGTTACATAAGCAATTTTGTATTGAAATGTATGATGTTACTAGTTAAGTTACTTCCATTGTGACTAGTCTTATTGAATTTTAAGTTTGGTCACCCATATACCGTTAGGTGCTATAACAAGGCTATTGTTAAGATCATTATTAATCATGTCTGCTCATCTAAAAGTTAACCTTTCCTGACCTCACACTTGCACGCAACTCTATTATTATTGCTTACAAGGGACGGCTTAGTGATTCAATCTCTGACTATAAGGCAGCTTAGTGACTGTCATGTTTGTTTTGCTCAAATCAAAAGAAAATTGTTTTGGTACTTGAAACTGTTTGAGTGGTAAAAATATTTTTTAGCCTTTTAAGCATAAATTTATTTATTTGTACCCGTTACAACACATGGGCCTTTTTCCTAGTGTACACCTATGCACCGAACTATCCCATAGTTTTCTTTCCTTCTTTCTAATCTGTACAGCCATCAAACCAACATGGCCCAAGGCCCATCCAGCGAGGAGTGCCAGCCAGCAGGCCAGCAGGCCAGCCGAGCGAGCGAGCGAGAAGACGGCTTGGCTCTTCTCCTTCCTCCCGCACGTACGTGCACAAGTTACAGAACATACACGTTCATGGCCGCCCCTTCTTTTCTCTCCTTTAATCATCAATTCCTTCGTCGTTTCCATTTGTCATCAACACGAAAGTTAGAGCCCTTCCAACGACGAGTCCATTCAGTCTAATGGCTCCACTCATGGTGGTATTAATCGCCCACAAGTAACTGATGAACTTGAGGGCGGCAATTTGCATTTGTCCATTGATCTCCCTGCTCCAGCTACATTTGCCAGTCCGTTCGCGCCACGGTGTGTGCCAGGAGCTCCTCTATAAAAGCCCTCTCCTCTTGTCCTCGAATTCCTTTCAAAGCACCCCCAATTCACCCCGCAATACAGACTCATCTCTGCTGTTTTTCGCCTACCGTCGCCTCATGTGAGCACCCCGATCCAATTCCTGCCACCAGACGAATCCTCTCACCACAGCCAGTCTCCTAGACATCTTTTCCTGTCCATTTGTCGTTGTTAGCCGCACGCTCAACAACACCATGCCGTTGCTCCATTCGGGACTGACGTCATCATCACCCGTTGACCATCCGTCGTGTCCGTCCACATCATGGTGTTCCTTCATCACCAGGAGCGTCACGCACCACCGTCTCTTCATCACCGAAGTTCAACGACGCCTACACACACCTAGCACGTCCATTTTATCTTCAACGACTCCATCTGCGATGACTACTCAGTGACCCAAAACCAAACCTAACCTATAGGCCGATTTTGATGATGCTAGGAATGATTTGATGTTTATATTAGTCGTCCAATAGAATTATTTTGAGTGCATATTATGAACGAGTGCATATGTATAATTTGTAGTAGTTTAAGTCATATAAAATCATTCCACATTAATATGATCATGTCTATTCCATGCGTAGGTGTTGTTAACTTATTTTGAGTTATTAGGATTGGTCGTAGAATTTCTAGAGCTAGTTTTACATTTTTTTGCGATGCATGTTAGTCGAGTGTGATAATTTTGGTATTGTTCATAGATATAGTATATGCATGCGTATTTGTTTTGATAATATTTTCATGCTTAGTAACATTATGTTTTAGTAATTGCGATAGGAGTGTATAATCGTTGTTTAATTATTAGGATTGAGTTTTAGGTTGAGTTGAGATGCATAACATATGAATGATGTTACTCTCCATTATTTTATTTCATGTTGTGATCATGCCATGACTAGATTATTGTTGTTCCTTTTGTGACATATGTATTTAGATTATTTTCTTTTAGATGCCACACAATTTGTGCCTATAATGATTTGGTACCATTTTAGAATCATGTTGTCGTTGGATCCCATGTAGCTTGTCTAGGTTATATTATGAAGTTAGATAGCTTGGTTGGCATGTATGATGCTTGTTTTCGAATGCAATACTTGGTGTTTTGTTTAGATGCTATTAACCATTTCAAATATTTAGCTTTTATCTAAATATTTAATTGTGGTTACATATTGTATTTCTCATGCCATGATGAGCCATGTCTTGCAAATGCATATGATAGTTTATTATTTTGTGTTCATGTCCTGTCATTCATTATGTGTTTATTTTCTTTGTTAGCCCGAGGTATATATAATGGGCACTTTTAGAGTTTAGTTAGCTAAGTCGGTTTAGAAGGTTAGTTGTGGTGGCCAAGTTTTGCTTAGTCACGATAGACCTAAACCTAATCAATCCATTGAATTCCTTCTACTCACCTTCAACCGTGCTACCTACCTTTGAATTCCGTATCTATCCAGACCTTGCTACCCATCTTTCCTATATTTTTATTTAATTTGGATGTTATTTGGATTTAATTGATTATGTATTTATTATTCCTTCGCTGTTACTACGTGTAGGAGGTGACGGTATGGGAGAGGAACACTACGAGGAGGATGGAAACGGGGGACTCGACAACAAAGGCATGCCTCCTTCTTTGATCATACTTATCCTATGTTTACAAAATTGCATTGTGTTTTATGGTTTATATGCATGCTATTTTAATTCTTGTAACTAGCGTTTCGATTGACACGTTACCTTGATCCGCTTGTCGCCTATTTACTTGACACTTATATAGTTACAGTAGAGCAGAAATGCTTAGCCATGCTTATCACCCTATAGGTGCTTTGTTGAATGACCTCTAAGTCATTGACCGTTGAAACTTATCGCCGAGCTAGGCTAGTTGGCCTTGTTGACCTTCTCTATCCTCTTCTACTCTAGGTGAAAATTACCACCTGAATACTGGCGTGAGTGATAGCTGAATTAAGGATTGAAGGAGCGATTGGCTTCCCTTCACA